ATAGCAAGAGCAAGTGAGCAACCCTACCCTAGCCTTCAGCCCTTCCGTCGCCGTCTCTTCGCTTTTGGAAAACGAAACAGAGCGAAACGAAACAGAGGACAAAGCCTCCTTGCTTCAGCCCATCATCGTCCTCGCCGCGCCGCCATCATCGTCCTCGCCGACGACGATTCCGGACTGGAAAGGCAAGCCCAGAATGCTCAGCGGGACCTTGGCTCGGAACAACGGCTTCTGCTCGTCGCGGAATTTGAGGGAGGCCTTCATCTTCGCGCTATCTCTCAGACCCAATGAAGAATCAGAACTACAGAGGGGGGCTGGGAAATTTTGGGGAGAAGGAACCCTACAGAGGTAGAAGAAGAAGCATCACAGTGCGAAGGCAGTGAAGGAAATGCGAAGATGGCTCCGATTCTTTATACAAAGATCCGAAGATTTTGTCGAATTTTTTTTTGAAATCGTTGGAAACGCTTCGATGGGAGAATTTTGAGCAGCGGAGATTCCGCCCTAATCTGGCCTTAAGCGGACGTGGTGGTGGGTGAGGAGAGAGAAGGGGGAGATGGGAGGAGGCACTTTGTCGATTTTGCCCCTGAGGGTTTTCTCGTCACTAGCCGTGGCCTGGTGGCTGGTGGGTATCTCTCGGGTTTCTGTACTCGAAACCCGCAAAACAGAGGTTTGGTTTCGGTTTCGGGTTGTGGGAGTCGGTTTCGGGTTTTCGGTTTTTAGCGGTTTTCGGGTTCGGTAACCCGAACCGAACCGAACCGACAGGCCTAGCTACAATTCTCATGCAAATTCGTTATCCGGCCCAATAGTTTCTTGATTTGGGCTCCAACTACTGTATATGGTGGTGCCATCAATGGTCCTTCCAGTGCTAAGTAGGCTTTTAAGCCCAATACCAAACATGGGTAAGTAAGATTAGAAAGCAAAACACCACCACACTCATCTGGGGCTATTCGCATATTATTGTTTGAGGCAATTCGTTTCCACACTAATATTGGTGATAAGTAGGTGGTCATTCAGATGGGTAATGTGAAGCATTTATCGGGTAGTAAGTAGTAACAATTTTTTTTTAAAAGAGATTTCAGGGTTGGGTTTCTCTCTAACTTTTAAACGTGTGTCTCGCTGCATTTTGTATCTTGTAGAACTAATTGGATTTTCCATATTCTAACAAAACAATACCATTTAGTCGATGAACGTGCTTTAAGAAATTGACTAATGTTTCCGTCTCGCCTTTCAATTTCGTAATTAGATATATATATATATATATATATATATATATATTTTCCTACCTTGTATTTTCCCTCTCTTATGGGATATCTTTCAGAAACAAAAACAGAATCATATATAGCAAAGAAGGAAACCAAATCTCCATGTTCAATGGAAGACGACACAAGCATTTTTTTTATATAAAAGAGCCATTCTCTCCCCCCACCCCACCAGAAAGAAGAATAAAAAAAAGATCAAAAGATCTCAAACTCATTCATCATCATCCCCCCAAGCATAATGGAAAGAACCCATTTCAAGCTGATGCTTTGCATCGTGATTTTGGTTTTCTCTGTTTCTGGTACGTACATAATTCCGCCCTAATTCATGTATCATTATGCTCTTAAGAAGAAGAAGAAAAAAAAACACTTGTTGATGAACGAACTGTGCTCTGTTCAAAATGAAAATGAACACACTACTGCAGGTGGGAAGAACAGTGGAGCAGAAGGTAGAAACTTTAAGATTGACACGTGCCGCAGTGTGGACCAATGTGGTCCGCGGCGATGTTGCATGTGTATCTTTCACTGCGTCTGTACATGCTCCAAACAAGACATGGATGCAGAACGCCTCGTTCTAGATTCGAGAGGACATGAAAATGTAGAAGGGAAAGGGAACTAATTTACAAAATAATGTCATAATATATTAAAAAAAAAAGTGTTAATGGCTCCACTTTCTCTCTCTCTCTTTCTGTTTGTGAAACTGAGATTTGCTTCAAGAAAGGGTAATGGCCGAAAGTACTCAGTAACCAGTTTCACCCAAAATTATTCTCGATCCGTTGCGTCTTAATTACTTCTAGGCAAATTAATACATGTTTGACCGGGTTGATCTAATCCCAAGTTCCCAACACTCTCAAATCAAAAATATCTGATCTAACTACGACCGGTTATGAGACAAGTTTGAGTATCTAATCTAACCCATTGTTGTTCATAAAAGTTTAAGGAAGAAAAAAAAAAGCAATTGTTGGATATGATATTTTATCCGCGTTTCGCGACGGATACCCTTATGTTAATACATGGGAGGTTTCAATATTTTACACCATAGTCATTCTTAGTATAATGAAATCAAAGAATCGCAGTATCGCACCCCAGAGAGTTTTTTTTTTTTTTTTGCCTTAGATAGATAGTTAATAGATAGGGAATTACAATCAGTTTGAAAATAAAAAATGGTAATCAGCCAAATGTCAATCCACCGATGCAAGAGCCTTTTTCGTCACGCAATGGGCAGCCCTGTTAGTTCTACGAGGAGAAAAAACAAATCGAATCAATGAGAAGGAGGACTTCATCAATAGCACTTCCTCAAGGATCGCTCCGCCTCGGTCATGTTGAACATCATTCTCCATAGCTCGTCAAATCACCAGTTGCGAATCACCACAAAAACAGACAGAGTACACACCACAAGTTAAACACCAATCCATTGCATCACGTAAAGCCAATAATTCCTTCAGAAACGCATCACGTAAACCCCAGAGAGTTGGTAACATTTATATTATGCATAATCAAAGTACTTCGAAACAAAATAAAGATTATGTTGGCATTTATGTCGGTAAAGTTATTTGGCGACGTTGGTTATGTCAATGGGTAGTAACTAGCCATAATTCTCATGCAAATTCGTTCTACGGCCCAATCAATTATTGATTTGGGCTCCAACAAATGGACATGGTGCCATCAAATGGTCCTTCCAGTGCAAACTAGGCTTTTTAGCCCAATACCAAACATAGGTAAGGGTAGAAAAGAAAAACACCCTTTTTGTATCTCGTAAGGTTAATTGGGTTTTCCATATTGTGATAAAACAATACCCTTTTTACTTTTAGTTGACTAATGTTTCCATCTCGTTTCAATTTTGTGATTAGACGTACACAGATCTTATATGTATTCTCCTCCCTTGTATTTTCCCTCTTATGGGATATCTTTGAAAGAAAGGAATCAAACAATGGCATTTTCCCTCTTATGGGATATCTTTGAAAGAAAGGAATCAAACAATGGCAAAGAAGGAAACCAAATCTCCATATTCAATGGAAGAAGACACTATCTTTTGATATAAAGAGTGTTTGGGATTTTTAGTGGTGTGAATGGAAATAAAAGGGAAAAGTTTTAAGATAGTCTCTTGAAGTACTATGTTGGTAAGATGTGGGAAGGCACGACCTCGAATTCGATCGATTTGATGTAATATGTGGTTAATCGGTTAAATTGGTTTGTGTACCAAACGAACCAAACCAAGTCGAACCGAACCGATGTGGCGGTTGGAATAACCAAACCGGTCCAACTACCATGGGCCGAACCGATGCAATGGTTCATTATTTCAAACATGAACCAATATTTTGGTTGGGGTGTAACCACCCATATGAAGAGTCGCCTCCCTTCGTACGCATCCCTTCATTTTCTATAAATAACAACTAACCCCCTCTGGTTTCTTACATCGGTTTTTCCCGGTACCAAAATTATGTCAAAATTCAAAACTAGTATTCTTCATTCTTTTCAAAGAGAAAATCGAGTCAAGTGTGGCTCTCGCCGGTGCACTGCGTTCGATGGGTTCCGGGGTTTGAGGTACCGCTACACCGGAAAAGGTACGTCCTTTCTATCCTGGGAGGAATCATTCCATAATCTTGGGTACTTGAGGGGAATAAGATTCTTTAAGGAGAGATAGTGAATTCTATCGGCTAGGACGCTTGCATGTGTCTTTGCATGTTTTCTTAATCTTATGTGTTTGCTTGTGTTGCAAGAAAATAGTATACGTGAACAATTTCCACAACAAAGAGTCATTCTCTTCCCCAACCCACCAGAAAGAAAGAGAAAAAAGTTCAAAAGATCTCAAACTCATCCATCCATCCCCCAAGCATAATGGAAAGAACTCATTTCAAGTTGATGCTCTGCATCGCGGGTTTGATTTTCTCTGTTTCTGGTCCGTATATAAGTTCGCCCTAATTCATGTATCGTTCTGCTCTTAACATAGTCAAGAGACCTGTTCTATAAGAAAAAAAAGAAACTTGTTGATGACCGAACTGTGCTCTGTTCAAAATGAAAAATGAACAATGCAGGTGGGAAGAACAGTCGAGCAGAAGGTAGGAATCTTCAGCAGATTAAGTGCGACACTGTGGCCAATTGTGGTCCGCCGGAATGTTGCGAGTGTATCGGCTACTGCTTCTGTTCCTGTGCCAAGCAAGTTCTGGATGCAGAGCGACTGGTCGGAGGTTTCAGAGTACACGAAGAAAGTAGAAGGGAAAGGAAATTGATTACCAAAATTTTGTGCGTCTTTGTAAGACAGGCTGCCATAATGGGAAAAAAAAAAGGTTCCATGACCCATCACTACCATCAAGCAAAGAGTTCTCATCTTTCTAAATAAGTTTGCATTCATTTTTCATATAATCTCCTCCATTTTATTATGACAAACACGCACGGTTCTCTTTTTAGTAACGGAAGAATTAACCTGTGACATATTTTCTTATATATGTATGACGACTCTCTATGAGACTAATTTGAGTGTCGAGCTATCACGCAAATATATAAAATATTATATAGAAGAAGGAAACCAGATCTCCATATTAAATGGAAGAAGACACTATCTTTTTAATTTGGAGGTGGCCAAGTGGTAGTTCTTCCACTGCAATGTGTAACTCATGCAATCCCCTGCCTCCCGCTATACAATCAATACTCTGTCTGCATCATGGTTTTGGGTTTCAAGCTGGAAAAAAAAAAGCAAAATATCAAAAGATCTCATCCATCAAGTGAAAGAGGATCATGGAAAGGACTCATTTCAAGCTGATCCTCTGCATCGTGGTTTTGGGTTTCGCTGTTTCTGGTAACGTGTAATTCCGCCCCTTCTTGTTTCATAGTACCATACGGATTCTACAGCTTCTTCTCTTCTGGTACTCTGTTCTTGGCAGAATCAAGAGACTTGTTTTCGAGAAGAAAAAAAACTGTTTGTTCAAAATGAAAAAGTGAAACTCTGCAGGTGGGAAGAACAATAGTGGTATTGGAGCAGAAGCTGGAAACGTCAACGAGTACTTAATATGCGACACTGTGGCCGATTGCGGTTCGCCGGGATGTTGCCGGTGTATCGGTTACTGCGTCTGTGCCTGTCCCAAGCAAGTACCGGATGCAGAGCGCCTCGCCGGAGGTTCCAAAGGACTTGAAGAAGATCAAGGGAAAGGGAATTGATTAGCTAAATAATGTGTCCTTTTCATTTGTATGAGGATCTGAGTTATGTAATAAGAAGTGGTCATGGCTCTGCTTTTTCTTCGAATGGTGTTCATGGCTCCACTTACACACTCTGTTTCTTAATTAGTTAATGGAGAAGCTGGAATTTGCTGCAAGAAAGTAGAAACGGTAATGGCCGAAAGTACTTGTGTTTAGGTGGAAATTGGGGTGTGTGGTTACCCGCCCACATTTTGCGGGTACTCACACCCACAAATTTACAATTACGCTACCCATAATTCGCATCGCAGTGGTTAGTGGGTAACCACTACCTACTGTGGGCTTATGTGGGTTGGGTGTAATTACCCGCAAAAATTCATCTTTGCAAGCATAGAGTTCTAGTCGCCACTAACGTATTTGTTGTTCGTAATTAGACTATAGTGATATACACTTGTGTTGTTCGTGGAGATACAATTTTGTACATTGATCTTACTCAACGTGGAGATTTTTTCTTTTTGAATTTGGTATTCAACTTTTGTGTCAGAGAGCTATGATTTCATATTGGCTACAAGCGAAGTAACAGGCGTCAGAAAATAGCAAAATATTGTCACAAAATATTTCAAGGGTCGTCGTCAAAATCCTTTGCCGACAGCGATGTCCATTATAGCGAAAACTGTTCATCGTCGTCGTAGTATCGTTGTTTAGTTATTATCTCACTTGGATGAACAAACACAACCGCAATCCGAACCCATCCGTCCAATTCAATTTAACTCCTCATATTTACCACTCAAAATACGGTTTAATGTTGAGCGAGCGCTTTCTTTTATAGAACTTGCATTGGATGAGCATTCTCGAGCATTCAACCCGTAAATACCCAACTCAATCCATGTTACAATTATTGTCCGTGTAGCATACAAACATATTTGGATCTGGGCTTTAAGAAATGGATATGGTGCCATCAAATGGTCATTCCAGTACTATTCATTCTTCCAGGTGGGCTTTTTAGGCCCCAATACTACGGGTTCGAAAAGACCAACACCCTTTTTGGAGCAATCTGCAATATTATTGGGGCGTTTATTTACACGCTCCAATAAAAGCTACTACTACTAGTAAGAGTATTACTACATTCCCTTGCTTTTCTATCACATACTCTGCAAAGCAAAAACCTTTTAGGCTGGTGGCTGGAAAGGGAAAGGAAAGAAGGGGAACAAACAGAAAAGGGAACTCTGCGATGATATATCATATTGCAAACTAATAATTGGTAGTATCCTCTCCTTTCTGGGTTGTAGGTAGGGTTCATCGGGCAGAAGGTGGAGCATCGCCGAGCAGAAAGGCGGAGAAGAAGGCGAGGGAGTCGCTGGGTTTGAAGATAGGGACGGCATGGCCTGCTCCTCTGAATGTGGCAAATGTCAGGCCTTCATACTCCTGAAACCACCCACTGACTTGCCTTTGGTGGTACCATGGCCTCCATGACTTGGTTATCTTCAGCCCCAGCGAGCTTATGCTGTACCGAGTCGACAGCACAGGTACCCTCCCATCCGTGTCCCCGCTGCTCAAGCAACAAAGACGAAGAGCACGATGAGTTATCGTCGAATCGACACATAGGTAACTAGAACCATAACCACACTTATATCAAATGGGAAAGGGCAACCAGTAAAGAGTAACCAAGAGGGTAAAATGTTGAAGAGGGACAGTTTGTTTTGTTTATACCTGTAGACCCAGATCCTGATTCCTGCTCCAATCAGCTTTGTGTAGATAGGAAGGACGGATGGCTTGGAGTACTTCCACTCATTGAATATCGTCTCACTGCACACCAATCATATCACCGGCCATGCAAAATCAACTTACAATAATTGCCAACACAGAGACCAGAAAAGACAGTCATATGACAATTGACGTGACATGACTTCAAGTTCACGTTAACCAAACACTGCAAGTCTGCAAGCTTCTCTTCTGAAGTTACAAAGAGATGGGAAAAATCCATCTTCCTAATTTTTTTAGGTAAAAAATACTCAACAAAAAATCATCTATCGGAACAATACAGAGAAAAATAATCTGTGCGACTGTATGTGACTGCCAGTCGTAACTAAAGGCTAAGCTCAAGCACGGTACATTCTTAAGCAGCAAGAATCTCTCACCAAATCGTCCACAAACTTTGTGATCTATATACGAAGTTAATCGAACTACTTACTTGCAGATGCTCCAGTTCCTGAGATGGTGGCCATCGCTCACATGGAGGGCCTTCTGGACATCGAGCCTGTTGTAGAAAGCCTTTGCATATTCATCCAGACATGGATCATACCCACCCATTATTCTCGGCATCTGACAATAAAGTTATAATTATTCATGAGAAAGCTTTAATTATTTGTCTATGTCCTTCCAATTCTGATTGTCGTAAAAGGACGTCAATCATTCAGGGACACCTATCAAATGCCCCTCCCTTTCATTTCAAGTTTTCAACTCACCATTTTTGAAGCACGTGTGAACATAACTTGGGTGGATTTCTGATCCGAGCTTGCGGAATTCCTTGCACAGACCGAGGTGTAGAGGCTGTAGATATCGATCTCCTTGTACTGTCTCAGCAATTCATCGACAGAATCACTGCAGTCGTTGTTGCTCCAAGTGTCATCGCTGCTGAAGTTGCAGCTCAGGCTGATTACCTTGTGGGTTTCGTCTGAGATCACGGCATGGCTCCAGGCGTAATCTACCATACCTCTCCAGTCTTCGGCATCGTTTGTTTCGGGATTACCCATCTGAGAAAGGAAACAGTAATGTTAGAGAACGGAATATGTTGTAGATTCTCAAGCATATCTCCATTACTACTTTTACGTTTATGTGTGGCATACCAAAATACCCCTGAGGTTTATATGAAGTGAAGCATCCTTGTTCCTGTCAATTATAAACTCAGCAAGCTCCGGGATGTATTTTCCTGTATTGATCCATGTTAGAAGGAATTTGTACGGAAATTTCAAGTATAAAGACAAACTTTTTAAGTAAGAGAAGAGTTGAAAATGCTCTGCAATTTAAGGGAAACGAGGGGAAATTATATGCTAAACATAGATTTTGTATAAAAATCGTTCAGATAGATTGTTCTTACCCGCGTAGCTCTCCCCTGCTATGTAGAACATCCGAGTTCTGTACGATGGAAACTTGAGAAACCATTTATGCAGGAAGGCATAGGCATCATTTGCTACCAACAGAGGTAAGAAAAAAAATACTAATCAGATCAAAAGACTATCATAACCTGAACTGGCACTTGAATAAACAGATAGTTGATTTCATAAGTCATGTGATTTACCTGTAAATTCATCTCCCAGGATATTATAATCTGTACTTGTATTTGAATATGAAAATCCAACTCCAACTGGGGATTCCAGGAATAGCATGTTGGCCTCTGCGTCACATACAGAATGGTGAGATTTAGAGATAAAGATAATACCATAATGGAGAATTTTGGAAATCCAACCATAGTTGCACCTTGCCCTATTGTTTAAGCATAGATAGATATTATGTTATAGGCTAAGTGGTAGGCCCTATATACCTCTATTCCATGAGTCAGGATTATACTTAATTCCATTTCCATTAGCATCCACTATAAAAGGGCCAATCTCTTGAGTTGCTCCATATCCCACAGAAGAGCATCCTGGACCTGAAACATTAAGCATCTTGTCACCTTATTAGAGGGCATAGAATATACAATTAATAACAATCGTACTTATCGCGAAAAAGAACCTATTTGGACAATAATTGAGATTAAGGAAGGTGATGACACCCATTATGGCCTAGAGGAACAATAATCTTTAATCTGCCACAAAAGAACTTTTTCAGAGTACTTTCTTGTTCAGAACGCATGTTTACGAAGGGAGAGCATTTGATACTGCACAAGGCAAAAGCACTCAGAAAACTATATGTTATATAGAACTCAAATGCATGAGAGATCATTTTGGCCAAAAGCCTCGCATTTGGTTCTGATCTGGACAGCCATGGAAGATAAATCCAGCATCCTAAAGGTTACCTAAGGGCCACTCAAGTCTTTCTACCTGACATTACAATCGCCAATTATCTAGCTGAAAGTGTTGCAGAGTGATACAATGGACAGAGAAGCAACCACTCCAGTGCTTTGCCCATTGGTGAGCAACACTCATTCCCACAGTGACCTTACCATTCTTTTGTGAATTTGTGAGGATTCAAGAAAAAGAAAAATGACAAAGTAAGTAAGCTTGATTACCTCCATTAAGCCAGAGAACTAAAGGTTTTTCATCAGGACGGGTGGCTGCCTCATAGAACCAGTAAAACAGAGCCCTCCCACTTGTTTCATTCACAGTAAGAAATCCAGCATAGTGGCGGAAGTCCACTTCTGGCTGGTTAGGTAAATTAGTCACAAGATGATCATTGACCAATGTGTTCAGTCTCTTCTCAATAACATACTGCCCTTGTCTGGCACTGAAAAGAGGCACCAGATATACAAGAGCAATGAGAAATGAAGACAGGAAAGGTGCCAGTTTAGGGACAAAATCCATATTGGAGATGTGAGCTTCTTGCAGATAAAGCTTACAGAAGAGAAGATGATGAATCAAAGAAAGAAGCATGCCCTATTTATACTACTTGAGAGGAAGAAAAAAGCTAGGTGTGGGTCAGTGGTCCTATGTGGCATGGTGAATTTTTATCAGTTTAGCAAACCTTGTAGCTTGTGACATGGCACATTACAACTGTTCTAGAGCTTTCTTGCATGCTCAGGGTCTGTGGATGTCCCACTCATGAGTGGGTTGTTAGTAGAAGTAAAATATACAACTTCCTACAGTATATCCAATCCATCTTCAGAAAAACCATTTCCTATCTATCAGACATCCAATTTTAACAATCATTAGTTATGTTCCTGGCTCAATGAGAATAAATTAGGCAAGAATTTGTGAATAAATATGCAGTTGTAAAGAGGCATTGGCACTCATTTCACCAGAAAAAATTATGATGCAGTTGTAGTCTGTGATTTGTATTCTTAAGCAGACTAGTCAGACTATTTTTTTTTTTTTTTTCAGGGAAAATGAAATATTGCTGATTGAAGAGGGAGAATCAATACATGTTGATAGGATAACCATCACAGTAGTGGCTAACAATCTGCATATATTCAAATAGATTTGATTTGCCTTTGACTACTTTTGTGTATGATTTTCATACACCATATGGCTCATTGCCTACCTGTTTTCTCCCATCCACTATGCCAAATGTTCTCTCTGGTAGACTTTATCTACATGTTATCTTAAAAATATACCTGGATGCAAATACATCATCTAATTCGCACGAGCCCCCAGCCCCTCTCCATCAAGCTGATCAACTAGCCTAGAGTATGGAATATGAGTGCATAATCCATGTTACAGAAAGAACAAACTGTCATGAAATATGAGCGCATAATCCATTTTACACAAAGAACAAACTGTCATACGATATGAACTCTATCAAGCTGTCTTGTCAATGGAAAGGAAATGCTCAAGGGAAATAAGTGATAATGACTGCTGTTAGCAACATAAACCACATAACATGGTGAACAGAATATTTTGTTTAGTGTTACCTGTATTATCAGCACTCTTAAAAGATGTAGCTAATCAAGATGACAGGGTTCTGAGATCAAGATAATGACAACAATAAAGAGCTTAAGCCCATTCATATCAAACTAGAGAAGCATTAGTAACAAATCCATATTTCTTTAGCTTCAAAGTGACTGGAACATCTCTTCAATATAAAATTGTTCAAAATGGCATCCACTTGGCTTGAGACTTGGTATAACCCAAGGTCATCCTTCTTTGGTTCTCATCAAATGAAATAACCAGGAATTACTAACAAATCCAGTATAAATAGTCATTGTTTGTTCCTGCACGTAAGAGGGACTAGTAGGGATTGTTGATCTTCCACAATTTTGCAGACAAGTGGGTCATAGAGGAGTTTGAAGCGATTTGTCTATGGAACTTCTAACCAATAGAAAACTGCCTGAAACTAAGTAGGGTCCGCAACACTATTCTATAATAGGAGTAGGGGCAAAATATTTAAATTGGACTCCTGTTACAAGGTCAGCAATACAGGACAAAAACGTCCACAAATTGCATGAAAGGGTAAACCATGGTCAGAGAGGGTGTTCTAACATTCTGCACACTGACAATATTTTTGCTGCTAATCACAACACACTGAACACAGTCATGTCATAAAAGTGGCAAAGTGGAAATGACGCTGTGGTACATATTCCCATACCAAATTAGTGGTGGAATAATAAAAAAGAAAAAGACCACCGTTTTAGGAATCTCATCATCACAAAGTAGAAAGTTGAAGTTTTGTGGCGAACCTTGTAGTTTGTGACTATTGAATCTGGTGATGTACCCCCCTCCTCCCTAGATGGCGAAAGGTAGGAAAGGAAATACAGGTTGTCGTTGAACAATGACTTGGATCCAACAATGTAGTCGATAATGAGATGGACAACATCTCTCAGATGTTCCATTTATAATATACTTGCTTCTCTTCCTCTCTTTTTCTTGTTATTTCCTCATCCCATTTTCCAAATATACATCTAAGTCCAACAATCACCGAATCACCAATGAATGAAGCCTTTACAGGTGCTCATCTGATGGTTCCCCTGCGTTCAATGACTTCTATCATGCATATGGATAACTTTTATTCAGGAGCCACACACAATAAAACCATACTACTCTTATATATTCATGCGTTATAGCCAAGTAAATCTCTAGTTTGCATGTATAGACATCTATCCACCATGTTTGACACATTTGCCACCAGATAATGGCACAACAACCACCCTCTCTCAGAAAGTGAAGCCACTTTTTATGATGGCCAATGGATCTCCAACTGCATTAGCAAATTGATTAGGTCTTTCTCCTTTTGGTTGGTTTCAGACTCACTATTCCAGATGTGGTTACTCTAAAGAAAGAAAAATACAAATCTGTCCAAATCCCAGAAGGAATGGTGAATATTTTAACTAAAGATGTATGCACTTATCACCATATAGGATTAAACACGTATATGCGATGGTGCTCCCACCATTAATCCATTGTGACCAGTCTTGCATCAGACCTTAAAACATACTGTTCATTCCCAAGAACAGACAACCTAATGATTCCAGTCTCCTAATTCTACATCTTTTCTTTTTCAAAATTTCGCTTATGTGTCTCGGTTGGATAGATAAAAAGATCATTTAGTCGATAATGTGATAATAATTCTGATAAAGCGCATAATTGGAGAAGGAATCAGTTCAGGGCCATCTTCATCTATAAATAATGACCCCATCCTAATCTCCAACATTCATAAATAGTTAGTTTACATGCAGAACAAAACAACAAATACATCTGCAATCTTGCCATTCTTCAGGAGAAAACAAATCTTGAACATCCAATGACCTATATCTAAAAGCGACGAACCAACAACACCAAGAAGTAAAGGTAAATCATTAAGGCGAACCTAAATCAGGTTTATTGTAAAAGAACTGATCAATCTTAAACCTGGGAAAAAGAAGAAATTGTGCCAGAACAACTACGCAGAAATTTGGTTTCTATAAGCCTCTTCCATTAAATAGGACATTCTTAGTTCTGTAGTCTATTGAATAGGCCAATGAAGATTTGAGTCAAACACATAAAGGCTTAAGTTCCAAAATTTTCACTAGGTGGGAGAGTTCATTATCTGCTCATAACCATGATCAGAAAATTAAGAAGAGGGAGGAGGGAATAGCATAAGCAAAGCATGACTCAAGTGGTGGATCACATCAATTGCAAAGTTCAGTCATTCTATTCTATACCTGCTGGCAATTTTAATTGCACCTGCAACTGCTATTAATCTGGGGTTTCTGAAATTAAAGGAAACAAACGCCTCTTACGAAGGAGAAAGTGGCTTCCACTGTTTACCCCACAAATTGTCCCTCTTCTTCCTTTCCATCTGTTTTCCCGTTGAACGTTCATTAACTGTCCACCCATCATTCTTTAATATTTCATTCGTCTCTCTTTTCGTATATAGACTTTATATTCTTGTTTACGGTTGCCTCAATTGAAGATAAAAACCAATGGCACCTACTTAAATGATGACTATCAGTTTTTGAAGAATAAGCCATTAAGTTCCGTGCTTTCTATGCCTTTCCATTACCATTTTCCCATGTTGCCACAAACACCAGCGGACCTCTGTTAACTAGACAACATAAATAGAATAAAAGAATCTCACTTTTGTAGTTTCACAGAGAAGGAGACGTCTCTTATTGGTGGTACATGGCCACCACAACAAGATAAGGACACCTTTTGCAAGAGGTGGAGACGTAAGAGATCACAGGTTGGGAGTTACTTCTTGGGTAGTTAATCTTTTACCAATCTCATGCTCAAAGTTTTCTGGCTCCAACTTTTCGATATTGAACATCTTATTTACAGCACCAAAACACGACATACGGCTGGACTTCTAGTGGCCTATCGTTCTAGTTATCTCTATTTTACATTGTCGCCATACAGATATAGCCTAGTTCTCTATCCTTAGGTACCACCTAAATCTGCTCTCCCTTAGATATCAAGAAGAGTTTACAAACAAAAAGAAAATTCACAGCAAGTCAACGCTCCCACTGTACCATAACTTATCCCTGCCTTCCTGCTACCAAGGGGGGCATAAAGCATGTGAGATGAGATTTGAGAGGCAAAGCTATGGTCTAAAACAACCTAATTTCATGGTTGAACATCAGGGCAGTGGCTTCGTCAATACTTATTGGCATTCACAATGATGGTTGCAATACCAGACCAAACATAAAAAGTGCAAGTGCACGAGCTTTTATTGGTATTAGGCAAAAAAGGGAAAATGCTTTTTCATTACACGCCAAACAAGCAGTCAAAGCTTAACCATTCGATGATTTGAGGAAGCATATTAGATGGCCTAGTCTTTACTACAACCGCAAATTTATGGGTGTAAAAGTCGATCAGCCCCAGAAAAGACCAGTGAGATCAAATCGACGATGAGTAGTTTTGCTTTATCCTTCTTGGTACAAAACTCCACAGACCACATGAGGATTTTTAATGGAGTTTTTGGGGAGAAAAGAAGAGCATCTTTCATACTGTAGACAGGGTCAACTAACCATCTCATCGGTTCTATGTTCACCCATGAAACTAGTAATTGCACACCCAAGACAAAAACTGAAAGGATAAGAAAGACATGGATGCATCAAATGATTTCAAAAATGAAAGGGTATTTGGCTATTTGCGAATGTAAACTGACCTCAAGTTTCGAGTACAACTGCCTTCTCCATCTTTGTCCAAGTGTCATGAGACCCACACTTGATTCCATTGCCCCAGCATATTCCTGAAACTATAAAAAAAAGGTAACCAAGTTAATCGCAAAGACAACTTTGCATTGAAGGAAGTATTCTATGCGTTTAGAAAAGGTTTTGCTCATTTTATTATTCATTGCCGAAGGCACTGTCGTCCAAACCAGCAACAGAATCTAGTAGGGAGTCCCTAAAATTCTGATGTTGCAAAAGAACAAGGTACAAGTTGGAATGTAATTTTATTGGCTGCGTGTAAGGAAAGCAATCGCAGTTTAGAAAGCACTGACCTTCAGCTTTGATGAAAGTTGGAAACTTTTATGACAGTTGGCTGTTGTCGACAAATCAGAAAAGTGACAAAATTGACCATCCAGCCACCAATCCACCACACAATCCTAAGCAGCAGCAGAAGCAACAAAAACGCCGGACTATCTCACGATTCATCCCAATCGGCCAACCCTCTCCAAGAATGCAGGAGCAAGAAATTCCACCAACCAGCAGCGATGAAATCCACTACTGGGGCGATCTCCCAGAGCAAGAGTACTACAAACAGCAAGGAATTCGAGCAGGGCATTCATTCTACACCTCACCCAGAGGCCTGAAGCTCTTTACCCGTTCATGGCTGCCGAACACCTCCAAACCACCTCGCGCCCTGCTCTGTATGGTCCATGGATACGGCAACGACTGCAGCTGGACCTTCCAATCCACAGCCATCTTCCTCGCCCAGAACGGCTTCGCCTGCTTCAGCCTCGACATGGAAGGCCACGGGAGATCCCAAGGCCTGAAAGCCTACGTTCCCAACATCGACCTCGTCGTCCATGACTGCCTCTCCTACTTCAACGCCATCAAACGAGACCAGCAATTCACCGGCCTCCCTTCATTCCTCTACGGCGAATCCATGGGCGGAGCGATGTGCCTCCTCATCCACTTCCAAAGTCCTACCGCCTTCGACGGCGCGATCCTCGTCGCCCCGATGTGCCGAATCGCCGACGAGATCAAACCTCGCTGGCCGATCCCCGAGGTCCTCACCATCGTCGCCAAATTCCTCCCGACGCTGCCCATCGTCCCCACGGGAGACCTACTCCGTGAATCCGTCAAAGTGAAAGAGAAGGTGAAGGTCGCGGAGATGAATCCGATGAGGTACAGAGGCAAGCCGCGGCTCGGGACAGTGGTGGAGCTGATTAGGACTACGGACTGTCTGGGGAACAGATTGCGAGACGTTAGGGTTCCATTCCTCGTCCTCCACGGAAGCGCGGATGTGGTCACGGATCCGAATGTTAGCAGAGCGCTGTACGAAGAGGCCGCGAGCGAGGATAAGACAATCAAGATCTACGACGGGATGCTGCATTCGCTGTTGTTCGGAGAGACGGATGAGAACATTGCCATGATCCGGCGGGACATTGTGGTTTGGCTCAGCGATAGGTGCAGTACAAAGTGAAGACAAACGATCGAGTCGGGAAATTTGCTGGAAATTGCTCCATTTGGCGGTTGAATTGTGATTTGGTTTAGTGCTTTTGAATCACATTTTGGATAAGCGGTTTTGATCTGTGGATTTGTTCCCTCTTCATTGTTTTCGTGTTCGTTCTTCTCAATTCTAATATTCTGGCAAAATGGAAAGAGCGAAGAGATGAAAAAAGTTAGGTCCCACCGAGATTTGAACTCGGGTTACTGGATTCAGAGTCCAATGTCCTGACCACTAGACCATGGGACCTTGTTGTTCACCTGCTTCTTCTGTAACTACACCATGTTTAAACATCAGTATGATTTACATAGCTTCCAAGTTCCAAATCATGGTCATGGGTAGCCTCGGTCACGTCTCTAACTCAACCACTTGTGATATATCGATGTTAGTTGTACAACGAAAACCTACTAGTATTTCGAACCTTCGTCGAATGTGTGCTCCCTGTGTCAATCATTGCGCCTTTACCATGACTCTAGTCACAGTCGAGGATAGCATGAGCGTGGGTGGCACATCATGAATTGAATGGTGTGTACTAGGTTCGCAGTTCGCACAATCTATCATCGAGTGTTACAAGACGCGACTAAGCTGATACACAATCACGGATTCCCTTTTAAACAAACTTAAAACTTGAATACTCAAAACTTCTGTCACTCCATCCACACAAAGCAGAAGAGGAAAAACAGAGCTGTCAGGAATAGAGCCCTTCCATTTCATATACATGCGAGGAAAATGTCCAGTGGGCAAAGAAAAGCATAAACAGAACTATGAAATATGTAGAACTTCCTATCAATCTTCTTCAACTATATAGGTTACCTATAATTGGATTATCTATCTTTCTACAGCTATGTCCTGGCTATACAGTGACTGAACAAAACTCGGCGATCAGAAGAAACAACCTGCTGCTACACCCTTTCGGTCATCATCTCAACTTAAACCTAGGAAAAGAATCCCAAGTACGACGAATAAAATCCATGTCAAGAACTTGAATCTACTGCGAAAAAATCTAGATCGAACGCGAGAAGCAAATGGAACTTCCATTCTCTCACTCATTCAACCCATGAATAGGTATCTTAAATCCTCCTCGGTTAGGCGTGTCTGACGGCCACCATTCGCATCCTCGCCAAATGCAGATGCAACCATCTGCCTCTTCTTTTGCTGCAATCAAAGGAACTCAAAGCCACTGTTCAGTTAAACTGATTGGCAAAAAATGAAGAACACGGGAAGAATAGAAGGAAATGAGCCATTTATCAGATGGGCTAACAACAGCAGATATAAATCAAGAAGCTCCACACAGGGGGTGGGATCGGTGACTGATTTGGCTAACCAAACCCAAAGGACAAGTAATCATTTACTTTTTATATAATAAAACAAGGGAGTTTGGTTGACTAGGTTTAACTGATATACAAATAAAAATTTCCCGGTTTTAGGTGCACGAAAGACAGTAATGATACCTGTAGAGCTAAGATACGATCTTCCACAGTGTCTTTCACAGTCAACCTCAAAACATTAACGGGGCGTGTCTGACCAATGCGATGTGCTCTGTCGATAGCCTGATCTTCTGTCGTAGGGTTCCACCACAGGTCGAGTAGCATAACATGACAAGCAGCAACCATGTTTAATCCAAGACTAGCTGCTTTGAGAGACATGATAATAACAGAAACCTGCGAAACATTGACTAACATTCAGAGGCAAAAGACAAGAACGACGCAGACAAACCGTAAAAAGTAGAGCGGTGGGTCCAAAACCTCTGGTAGAGTGTTGAAATCCTTGACGGCTTTTTCTCTAGCAACTACTGACATTGTCCCATCGAGTCGACGGTACTGAATAGAGGAACTCTTAAGACAAGCTTCTAGCAAATCTAGCATCCTCGTCCACTGGGAAAATACTATGGCTTTCTCAGGAGTCCTGCTTCCTTTAGCATCATTGGCTGAATCCTGTTCAGACTGTATTTCTGGAGCAGACTGCTGAGGCTTGGAAATTGACTGCAGGACAGCAAGAGCAGCCCTAATTTTGGAAGAATCATATGGTCCGCCACTTTGAGCCTGAGAATTGACTTCCTCAACAGCATTGGAGGGAGGAACAAAGACAGCATCGGAGGGAGGAACAAAAACAGCTTCACTGCTCTGGTCAGCAAGAGACCTGTGCAAAATGGCTTGGGAGAACACTGAAGACACATTTAGTCGAACTTTACAATGAGAATTAGGGCAATGGTTGTCATCTCCGTTAAGATGTTCACAGATGCACTGATTGCAGAAAACGTGGCCACAAATTGTGACAGCTGCATCTTCAGGCGGATCCTGCACAAAACCATTAGGGCAGAGTGTCAGGCTGTAGAGAAAAACAAAGCCAGAAAAGTGAAATATCACGAGAGTAGGGAAGTTGGGAAAAGATAAGACAGGCTGGGAAAGGACCCACGAGCAGAACGACATTTGGTGTGCCTGGTCTGATCAGGTCCAGAATCGGACCGAATAAAAAAGGAGAAATGAGGAACCATCCAGTACAATTTTTCCTTTGTTTTCCAGAGGACCCACAGAACCAGAACCGGAAATAATCAATCAGAACTGAATAGAATTCTATTCAGTCCGATCCAATTCAATCCAAAAACTGAATTTGACCTGATTGGAACCAAATTGTTCCACGCCCATACTTCAGCTGAAAGTAAACCGAAGCTAGCAAGAGACCAATTCAAAGAACAAACTAAAGCAAAGAACCATACAACTATACTACAACTGACCAACCACAGATTAAGTCTTTCAGTCACAGAACTCCAGATGATCACCCTTCAATTTGGCCTCTAAAAAATATTGGCCTCGTGCAGACAAAAGAGAAGTGCTGCTAATTTGTGCTACAACTGATATCCTAAAATTAATAAAATAGAAAGGATTTCCGCCAGGCATAGAAAGGATCAGCAAAGGAAAATCAGTTGACGGGAGAGGAAGGGAATACGAGAGAAGACCATGAAGAACAGAGCACATACGTTACAGAGGCCACAGATCGCTAAAGATGCCTCTAAACAGTGCAGAAGGCTCATTCGTTTCTCGTGAGGAAGCTTCTTTGCCATCTCAATTGTAGATCTTTCCAATGCAACTGATTCGTAGCCTCTAACTAGAAGAGGGTGATCACATGCTTGACGAAGACGGAGGAGCATCAACAAGATGTTAACATAGTTTTGCTTTACAGTTCCTGCTGCAGCATACTTCTGAAGAACAGAAATGGGAGGGCTCAAAGAATCAGGCAACGGCAGCACAAATTTACAATCAATACCTAAAGAACTGAAGAAAGTAACTTCTTTCTAATCTAGTTAACTTCACCTTGAACTGATCACGTGAATCACTCTCTAGTCTGGAATAGAAACAACGCTCTTCATCTGTAAACTCCACTCTTTTCAGTTCTATGAACTTCGGAGGTAAAGTAATGATTGGCTCACCATCAAGTAGCGTAGCTACAAAAAGCATTTACCACATATCAGAACAATGTTAAGAGAAAATGCATGTCATCTCATCCCAGCTAAGTATTATATACATAACAAACAAAAGTGGAAAGCATATGATCATGCAACAGATAAATGTTTTCCCGCCAAAATTAAAGACATTATTTAGTGTGATTGAGCATAATATGGAATTCCATCAAACAGTACCAAAGCAATAATAAGCATAGCATTCACCAATTGAGCTACCTTTGGTACGACGAAGCATTACTGTCTTCAATATAGCTTGTAACTTTCTGTAACCTTTAACTGGACTTCTTTGAATTGGAAGTTTTATTCCGTTGCAGAATGCGGTGAACAATGTGAAAGGGTCGTATCTTAGAAACCTGAAATAGCTATAAAGATCATCAATTGAATTCTGCAGAGGAGTCCCAGACAAGCACCACCTGCGTTTTGCACGAAGACCCCAGCATGCCCTGGCTACTTGAGTTCTGTGATTCTTGATGCTTTGAGCTTCATCCAGAACCACTCTAAACCATGCCACCTTTGCCAGTGGCCGAGCAAGAGTTTCAAATAATGCACTATCAGATTCCTTCTTCTTACCGCCTTTCTTGCCAGAAGTTGGTGGATACTTCCTTTTCTTACCGGATGAACCAAGATGAGGACCATCATCACCATCTGCTCTTGCTTTCTCTTCATCATCCCCATCGGCAAAAGGTTGCTTTGGGACTTCCATGCTCACTATAGAGTACGTTGTGAGGACTACATCAAACTTTGCTAGTTCATAAGGATCTTTTGTTCGATTGCTTCCATGGTATACCAGAACAGATAGATTAGCTTTAGCAGTTACTTTCTTATGCAACTCCTCAGCCCATTGTCGTAGGACACTAGTGGGACAAACAATAAGAGTCCCAGCAGCTGGCCTTCCTTTGGACTGACCCAGAAGACTAATACTTTTTGATGCATTTTGACAGGAAATAACTCCACGATCACTGCTTTCCTTTTTTATTCCTGCTCCACAATCACTGCTTTGATTTTCTATTCCTGCTCCACAATCACTGCTTTCCTTCTTTAATCCTGCTCCACAATCACTGATTTCATTTTTTATTCCTTTAACTTCAACAATTTCATCTTCATCATCGTCCAAATTTAGGGTCTCAAACTTCTCTTTTTTAATTACAGCTTTATCAGCTCCATGACATGGAGCCCTTTCTTTAAGTATGAGAGAAATGGTTGATATCGTCTTTCCCAAACCCTGGATGACAATACATTCCCATGAAAAAGAATGATAAGATTAAACAACTTTCTTCAGAAAAGATCCAGGAGTATATAGCAACATAAAAAAATAAAACATTAACCTGATCATCAGCAAGAATTCCTCCAGAACAATTAATCCCAGATGTTTCCTTATGAACCATCCACGACAAAGCAATTCGCTGCATAGATCATCCGACAAGTTAGATAAAAGGAATGCGCTCAGATTTCCCAGCAAATGTCACTTGGCCTAATACTCAAGGAGAAATGTAAAAAGAGTTGCCTTGACAGGACAATCAAAGCAACAGAAATAGTTGCTTTAACTTGCCCAAGATTCATAAGAGTAAATAGTGCACATGTTGGAAACAAAAAAGAGGGTCTTCTGCAGACAAGACACAGTCATTTCCCAAATTTAAGACATATTAAATGTTCATTAGATAAATATTTAGAGAAGTCACTAATGCTCTGTACTCCACCATTGATAATTCATTTATTCATAACATAACCCCCATGAATTCTGCATGAACTTAAGAAAGGATGCTCGCTAACCTGATGCCTCATAAGAGGTACTGCCATAAAGCCATCAGGTGGAATTGCTTCAGTCTTTGGTTGATTAAGGTCCTGCAAAGCACCCAAAACTTCCAGCCCTTCAGGTACCCAGTGAAATTAACAAATTGGGAACTAAAAGACATATAATCGGTAATACTATAGAAAGAAAGGCAGAAGCAAGTCAAAGTTGAGACATTTGGAGTTAGCATTCTAATTACCATTCAAACTCTTCCAGGTATTCAAAAGAGTGGTAGATCAAAGAAAGGTGGCGACAGGACAATTCAAAACTCTAGCACTTCATCATAGCTCATCATAGTGAACGACTCAAAAGATATTAAAGATCCAAACAAGACAGAAATAGCAACAAGAAAGTTATGTAATATGCATTCAGCAATTCTAACCTGCAAGGCAACTCGAAATAAGACACGTTCATCACAAACCCTAGGTCGCACTCCTCCAGCTGCGTTGTAATGAAAGGAATCACTGTGACTAACAGGTTGAAATGAATCAGCAGGCTTTTTGTATGGTTGAGAGTGGCTGGAGCGAGGAGGTTGACTGATGTCTTCAAGAATACAAAGGTCGGAGTCATCATCCACAATAGATTGACTACCGGATGAATTGCTGTGAGTTGATTCAGGACTGACTCTTGAGAAAGTGCTAGCAAAGCTCCTTTGAGAATTCACTTCGTCCTTAAACCCATGTTGTTGGTAACTGTTTGTACCATATGGCTGCACCCTAGCAAAGTGCTGGTCCAGGGATTTTATATTCATGTTTCTATTCTTACTGGAATATGACATAGCATGGACCTCAGAACTCCTTGGTTCAACCTTCAAATAGCCTCTGTCTTTTTCTGCCATAATCAAGTGATTATGGCTTAACCTTGGAGGTGCGGCACTAGATGGAGAATGCTTTGGGTGTACAAAAACTGGTGGCTTCCCCCTGTGGCCCAATGAATTAGAACTACAAGGCCTTATCAATGCCTCATTCTGGCCTCCATCATAAACATAAGACCCAACTTTGAAGTTGGTATGTGATTCTTGTTTAAAATCATGGCCTTCAGGATCCAAACCAATCACACCAGACGACCCAAAGCTCTCAGTTGGATGCATACGCATCTCACTCGTCCCATTAATCATCATTACTTCATTACAAGGCACACCAGACGACTCAAAGTTCTCAGTTGGTGGTATACTCGTCTCACTCATCCCACCAATCATTAGTGCTTCACTACCAGGCAACTTGTCATAATTGAATTCGCCAGATAGACCATGCTGTGGAAAATAACCACTACTAGGATAAAACCCATCGAAATCGCTACTAAGATCAGAATTAAGAGAGAATGAAGATGTAGAAGGAATCGCGTCTTGCGAAGGTCCAGCTACATCTCCGATGGTCATATTCATAAATTGTTCAGTTCCATTCTCAGATCCTGAAACTTCCCAACTGTTCTCCATCATAACTCCATCATTCAAGAAACTATTATTTGAGCTATCAAGCCAACAGTCAAAATGTTCTGCATTCATTTCAAATCACCAATCAGTTGTTATAACAGAAGCTCTACTGCCCCGTGCAAACATCATCAAAACAAACGAAACAAATCTGGAGTGATATTATTGTATGTACTGAAAAATGAATGAGGGTTAACAGCTTTAACATACCGCCGGATTCAGTGTCCCCTTCAACATGTCTGGACTGAGCGTCAGTTTCATAAGTGGAGGAAGAAATGTCTGCTGAAGTTTGAAGCTGGAAGTTCAATTGGTTGTCGGAACCAGGAATAGACTCAACTTGTTGTCCATTATTCAGAAAATTCTGCGGATCCTCCTAAAGTTTGACAGATAGACAGAAGTTGCACAACAACAACGACACAAAATGAGAATTGAATCAACTAAACAAGCTGATGCTCACTTGGTGTCGCATATGGAAACCCAATTTATAAGTAAATTTCAACCCAGGAAGAGGAACTGGAGAGTAAAAGACTAAAAATGTTAACTAGTTCCATTCACAACTGGCAATCAAGGGGGCCAAATTCAGCCCCCATTCTCGATTAGAAATCAAAACCCTCCAAATAGAAATGGCAAGTAAACTAACTACAACCCATCAAGAAACTCAGTTAAAAGCTAAGCACTCAGGCAAAATAGAGGCTCTCACCTGGTGATATTGAGGTGGAGGAGGGGGAGGAGGAGGATCAGGCTCTCCGAGAATGTCAAATATCATATCAAGATCGAGGGAAACATCCTCATCACCCAATTCAAACCCAGTAACAGCATCTCCTGTCTGCTCCATCCCCGAGTTCCCGTCCGCCATCATCATTATCTTCTCCCCTTCAATCAGAACGTGTAGCAGCAGAGGAGGTAAACAAAGTACAACAAGCCCAAAAATAGAAACCTCGCAAAACCCACAATTCTCTCTTCTTGATCAAGCTTCGCGAAACCCTCAACCGAAAGGTGCCGCGAATCTCGAATTGGGGGAGGCAGAAGAACGCTCCGATCGGGACGATTCAAATCGCATTCCTCAAACCGGGTTAGGTTAGCAGGCGGGTTTTCTTTTCTTCTCTTCTTCTTCGGGGAGAGGGTCCGCGAAAAGTGCGACTTTTACCCCCCTTGCTGGTCGGCGGAAAAGCAGGTGGGATGAGGGAAATATCTCCGTGGGTCGTGGGCGTCGTGGTGGTTCGGGGAAACTGAACACGAAATCGGCGCAGAAGGGGGAATCTGAATTCTGAAACCGAGCTGTGGACTTTTGTGGCGCTGGTTTAAATAGGATTTGGGTCGCTCCAAAGGGTGTTTTTTTCAATTTCTTTTCTTTTCTGATGAAGATATAGAAACCGCCGGCCGGTCAGCCAAAATTCGCGGGCATTCAACTTCCGAGCGGTCGATGGACCGGACCCAACGGATTTCAAAACCGAACCAAGTAAGGTTCTTATTGAGATCCGTCTCCAATTAGTTTCTATCCTAAAATCATACGGCTAAACATGAAGCTAATTGTACACAAGTTTTTCTAAATATTTCAATAAGAACAACACTCAAAACACATCACCATGATAATCAGGACAATACATACTAATAGGTGTACTTGAGATACATTTCCCCTAGCTCGAGAAAAAAGACATTACTATCCAATCCATAAATCTATTGATCAAATTGGAAACAACTTTTTGGTTATTGGAGAGTATGGTTTTCTTACATTATCCATCACGCATTGTATTTGTATACATCACATCATCACATGTTTCATCATCGAACATCAAAAATTGTATCTCCTGTATACAAGTCAAACTCACATTAAACACAATTGAGTCGATTGTGTTCCAAATCAATCATATCCGACCATCCTCATATCTTCTATTTTAATTTGGTTTTTGCAACCTGTGGATGTAACTACACTTTACCTAGTGCAGACCCATAATAGCAAAACGAACACCATCAAGTGGTGCACACACATACATACAGTATTTCAACTCTTTCACCCACACGATCCCTCGCTGTAACTTTAAACGACCACCCTTCTCGAACCACATACCAGTAACACTCAATCAAAAGTGAGAACATCACATTTTGGTTTTAGCAAAGCCTAACTAAAACAATTTTAAGATATGTTTCCACGGTCATTGGGTAAATGCATTATGGGGACGAGACTAAAACACATATATACTGTATACAATTTTCCATGCAATGAAAACAAAAAACAAAATTCAAAATCGAGTCAAAGGGAGATTTTGTGAAATGACAATATGGTGATTGCAATGGAATTGCGCCTATGCATGTCAAGCTTGGTTGGACTGAGCTTTATGGGAAGCCACGAAAAGAAAAAGAATGCATGACATTGGAGAAGATGAAAGTGGGAACATGCTACAGTTCCAACTGTCGGTTTGTCTCTGTCCATTATTTACAAAATTGAGAAACAATTAAGGATGGGTTAATTGCATGATTGGTCACTGAGATTACAAAAAACGTTCACGTTTGGTCACTGAAAATATTTAAATCCAATCTTGGTCACTCAAATTATTTAAATGGTTCAAGTTTGGTCACTCTCCGTCCATTTCCGTTAACTCTAGCTTACGTGGCAGTCAACTTTCATAGTTGACCGTTAAATATGTGACGTGGCAATTAAAAAATTATTAAAAATAAAAAAAATAATCTTTTACATATTCCACCTCATTATTACATTAATTAAAAAACAAAAAATATATATATTTTGTCCAGTGATAGAAAGAAGAAAAAATATATATTTGTCCACAACGCCGACTTCACCATCTGCACGTTCCGCAGTGGCGGCACGACGATGATAACGTCACGCCCACAGCAAATCCCGGCCCATCTCCGCGGCAATTTCGCCGGAGCATCCGTCGTCGACAGGGACGAGATCGGCGGCTGGTGGCTGATGAGCAATTCGGCCGGCGAGATCTTCTGCTGCTTCAATCCCCTGCTCGAGCCGCCCAACGTCATCGAGCTGCCCAGAAATAAGAAGAAGAAGAGGTCGAGGCCGACAAGAGCTGCGTTCTCCGCCCCTCCGACGGATCTCGATTGGATGGTCCTGGTGGTCCACGGCGGCGGGGGTTGTCACGCCAGTTTCAGCACGCTCCTCCGCCGCGAGGGTTGGTGGACGAATTACGAGATCGGGTTCGTGAAAGGGAGGATCTGCGCGGGGATTGGACGCAGGGGTGGGAAATGTAAAAAATTATTTTTTATTTTTAATAATTTTTTAATTACCACGTCACATATTTAACGGTCAACTATGAAAGTTGACTGTCACGTAAGCTAGAGTTAACGGAAATGGACGGAGAGTGACCAAACTTGAATCATTTAAATAATTTGAGTGACCAAGATTGGATTTAAATATTTTCAGTGACCAAACGTGAACGTTTTTTGTAATTTCAGTGACCAACCATGCAATTAACCCATTCAAGGATAGTAGGTGTCAGTTTACTACTAAAGTGGTTGGCATTATTGTCACTTCATTAACTTCATGTTAAGTTGTTAACACTAATTAATTCATCTCCCGCTGTATGAATTGTGTGTGCAAATCTTCAGGTTTTTGAGCTTAACACAAATCAATTGACCGGAAGCATTCCAGCAAGTATTGGAAACTGTAGCATGCTCACACGGTTATACATAGCAGACCACGCTAATTTGAGAGGTAACTTTAATTACTTATTATCTTTTTGAGATCACAATCACGTATAAGTAAGGGTGGGAAATAATACAGTATATACTACGTTGGTGAATAACGGTCTGGTACGGTCCAAATCATACAGGCAATAACAAGTAAAAATGTGGATAGTGGGTTACAGTTTGCCACGGTTTATCGCAGTTTAGACCAAAACCGACCACGTCAGACTACCAACCACACCAGACTGTGTGTTACATAGATGCGCCGTAGGGGCGGAATTCTACGTTCTGGATCTTTACTTCTCCGGACTTTTGGATACGTTGCTCGATGCTCTCGAGTAGAGGATCTCCTTAATGGCGAGAACAACCCCAAAATAGCTACGAAACTACTAAACTGAACGAAAGTAATAACCAAAGCAACAAAACATAAATTGGGTTCCAATATTCTCATGACATTAAACGAACGAAACAAGTACACATTTATAGGCTTAGAAGCCTCTACCCTTTTCCCATCTAGAATATAAATCCTACTCCGCTAAGGACACGACAAACAATAACCTAAACCAACTTGAACAAGGAAAACATTAATTAAGACAACAATACATAAGAGCCAATAATATCCAAATACGAACTAATAAGAAAGATACGCAAGCCCAATAATTAATGAAATGTTACGATAGCTCGATCTCGTAACACTGTGATTATAGTCTCAAGTTCTGGACCAAACCGTGTAGTTCGATCTAAATCGTGATTCTCCACGTGGTGTGTCGAGACTACAAACCCTATGTATACTTTTGAAAATATAATTTTAAATTTTGTATTATGAAATAACTTGTGACATTACCAAATATAATATTATTTAAAAGGAAAAATATGAGGTTTTAATTTATTAATTAATTTGTCAATGTTAGCGAATATTACTATATAAGTAACATTCTCCCAACAAATTGAGTTATTCGAATCAACTAGTTTATGAAACAATAAACATGGTACTAAATAGTATGAAGTGTTCCCATATAACATATCATAATGGGTACGTTTGTTGGTTGATATGATGCAGGTGGAATTCCTTTCGAGTTGGGTAATTTAAACGGTCTTGAAATTTTGGAGCTTGGAGGAAATAAATTGAGTGGATTAATTCCATCGGCGATTTTTAACATCTCATCCATGAAGAAGATGGGTTTTTCAAACAACAAACTATTGGGGAATCTCCCACCAACCTTGGGCTCACAACTTCCATATCTGGAGTGTCTTAGTGTTTGGGGTAATAGCCTCAATGAAACCATCCCACCATCCATCTCCAATGCTTCTAAACTTTATCATATTGAGCTAGTTGATAACGAATTCTCTGGTCGTGCTCTCAATGCCATTGGCAATCTGCGAATGCTCGAAGAACTTCACATCTTCAATAACCCTAACCTAGTGGTTGATCCATCTTTTCTCGCCGCTCTAACAAGATGTCCTCTGAAGACATTGTTCATAAAAAACACTTCTTTTGAAGGTGCACTGCCAGCTTCCATTGGAAATCTCTCCTCGTCTCTGCAAAAGTTGATGCATCTGACTGCAAGATACATGGCAACATTCCAGATGAAATAGGAAATTTGAGCCACCTAATCGGATTCGATCTCTCATTCAATCGGCTGACAGGAACCATCCCACAGGTTGTACACAAAATGAAGAAGCTCCAACTATTGTACCTTTATGACAATGAGTTACACGGAGCCATTCTTGACCAACTTTGTGAGTTACAAGCATTGTCCGAGTTATATATGGATAATAACAACCTCTCTCAACAAATCCCAAAATGCTTCTCCAATTTGACATCCTTAAGAAGACTTTCCTTGGAATTTACTAGGTTAGAATCTGAGATACCTTCATCATTTTGGGACCTTACCTACTTGTTTGGTTTCTCTCTAGCTGGAAATGATCTGATCGGTTCTCTTCCTCAGCAAGTTGGCAACTTCAAAGGCTTGGTCTTCTTGGACTTATCAGGAAATCAATTATCAGGTGACATACCGGTAAGCATTGGGGGTCTTCTTGATTTGCAGGACTTGTCTTTTGCAAAGAACCATTTTCAGGGTCACATTCCAAAATCCATGGGGAACTTGGTAAGCTTAGAGACCTTGGATTTATCAGCCAACAATCTCACAGGTGTCATCCCAAAATCCATGGAATCCTTAAGGTATCTACAATTTCTCAACCTATCTCAAAATAGATTACAAGGAGAAATTCCAAATGGAGGCACATTTGCAAACTTGTCTTCGGATTCGTTTGAGTTGAATGCTGGCTTATGTGGCTTGCCCAAGTTTGGAGTTCCGTCATGCCCAGAACCAATAAGAGAGAATCTAAAACACATAAAGTACTTTGGCAAGCTACACATTGTAGTGCTCAAAGTCATTTTGCCATTGGTGATTGTTGCTTCTTTTGCTTTATTTATGGTGATAGTTGGGCGAAAAAAGAAGTCAAAGAAAGTAAAGGAAGAACCACTGCCTTCATTTATATGGAGAATGATTTCTTTGCTCGACCTTCAAAGAGCTACTAATGGATTTGATAGCTGCAACTTGTTGGGTAGGAGAAGCTTTGGCCAAGTGTACAAAGGGGAACTAGCAGATGGCACAAATGTAGCAGTAAAGGTGTTTGATGATTTTGAAGGAGAAGTAGATGATGTAACAACAAGTAATACCGAATGTGAAGTTATGCGAAATCTCCGTCATAGGAACTTGATCAAGATTATTAGCACTTGTTACACAACAGGTTTCAAAGCATTGGTACTGGAGTTTATGCCTAACGACAGTTTGCAGAAGTGGTTATATTCGCACAACTACTTTCTTGACATTTTTCAGAGGTTGGATATTGTGATAGATGTTGCATCGGCTCTTGAATATCTCCATCATGGATATTCGGTTCCAGTTGTTCATTGTGATTTGAAGCCGAGTAATGTGTTGTTGGATGAAGATCTCGTTGCTCACTTAAGTGATTTCGGGATTTCCAAACTCCTTGGAGACGGAGCCTCCATGATGAGAACATTGACCCTTGCTACAATAGGGTACATGGCACCAGGTATCATAATACATTTTTTTTATAATTATTGTTTGCTTATATTGAAATCACATTCAATTATTGATTTCAAAGTTTTTGAATGCATTATAGAGTTTGGCATGGAGGGAATAGTGTCGACAAAGAGTGATGTTTACAGTTTTGGGGTTCTAGTGATGGAAGTATTCACGAGAAGAAACCCAACAGAAGGATCATTTCAAGCGGAGACGAGCATGAAATAGTGGGTTGTTGCGTCGCTGCCCGTGGGAGTCACCGAGTATGCTGATGTGAATATGCTGAATTGTAACAGAGACAAGGTTTTTAAGGCTAGAGCAAATTGTATATCGTCGGTTATGAGGTTGGCGTTGCAGTGTTGTGCAGATGCACCAAGGGATAGAATGGTAATCAATGACGTACTTGCCAGTCTGAAAAAGATCAAGTCACAACTACTGTGAGATCTTCATTGAATTTGACGAGGAAACGATTATGATGAAATGTTATTATTTTATTATATGTAAGTTTACAATACATGATGTAAGTACAACCTTTCATGGGTGGTTTTTCTAGAAATTCATGGAACCTTTCATGAGTTTAAATGAGTAGTTATAATGAAGTTAAGAATAAAAGACAAAAATTTACATGATGTTGATCACACTTAATATTCAAACCAAGTATAAAGCAGATTCAGCTTTAAGCTCAAATCTTGATATTATCATCTCTCATAAGGAAAATCAAGAACCAACAACAAAGCCCAAATGGTTTCCAACTTTCCCTTCTCTCTCTACCTTTTTTTCAAATTTACGCTCCCCCTTCTCTCATAGTCACTTTCCCATCCTTTCCCCAGGGGTGGCCGCCGGCACCTTCTGGTGACCGGCGGTAACCCATTCTTTTCCTTCTCTCTTTTTCCCCCATCTTGCTTCTGGTTTGGAATGTTTTCTCCTGCCTTTTCCTGTCTTGTTCTCACCTTTCCAGCCGTTATGGCCTTTCAATTTCATCTCTAGTTGAGCTTGTCTCTTCGTTTCAAGGTCTTGGATTCATGTTTTGGGCTTGCTCAGTGAGGGATCTGGAGAATGCAGCTTGGGAACTTCATTCTGGTTGGTAGAATGGCCGATTCCCAAGTTTGGTGGGTTCATCGTCGGTGAAGCCATTCTTTGTTTTCCCCTTCCGGCTTCCCTTGGCAGTTGTCTGTTGTTGTGGTGCTCGTTGGATTGTGGAGGGTATCGTCTTCTCCGACGAGTTGCAGATGCCTGGTGTCTCTTTGGAGTTTGGTGGCTCAATCAGATTCCTCCACTCTCTTGGATCCATGCTTGCTGCCTCAGCTCCCTCTGCCTTTTCAGCTCGGAGCAATCTTTTCACTTCCTTCTCCACCGCCATGTAGTCTCGTTCTGAGATTCGCTGTGATGGATGTCTTTGAGCAGTCCCCAGGAGGCGGCATATGGTATTGCTTTGTTCAAGCCATGGATTTCGTTGTGATTGGACGAGTTGTTTCTGATCTTGGTGGTACTATGTTTTGTTTGGTTGCGAGAAGTTTTCTGGATCTACTGTTTTTGGATCTTGCGTTCTGATCTTTTGGGTGGTTGTTTGTTCTCTTTGCTTTGATCTTCTCTATTGTATCTCTCAAGCACGGTCTGTGTTCAACCGTTTGGTCGAGATCTCAGTTCGCTGATTTGGTTTCAGTTTGATCCATTCCTCTTTGTAACCGATCATTCATAGTGCAATACAAGATTTCCCTTTGTCAAAAAAAAAAAAAAAGGAAAACCAAGAGATAACATTTGATGAGTACCACTCATGACATATGACAAGTCCGTCTTGTAATCGCGTTGACTATTTTAATAACAAATTATACATTACCTCATATCAAAAATTAGAAAATAATATAAACTTCGGATTTTGCTACGGTGACATGCATGTCACCGTGACATGGACTTTTCGGTCGACCGAATACAACTTGCGGTCGACCGAATGGGCTAATTCACGTATGTTGGGTTCCTGAAGGCGGTCGACCTCTAACAAAATGCGGTCGACCGTTTTGGTGGTCTAACAGAGCAACAGGTCGACCCAAATATCTCATAGGCCGACCCTTGTGCACCTAACAGGTCGACCGCATTGGGAAGAGGTCGACCGCCTTCAGACCGTATCCGTATTGGATATGGATTCCAACACCAGAAAGGTTCCACAATTGGACAAGGAAACGAATTGGGTCGACCCATTCACGTCCAAATCTCTATAAATACGAATATGAGTCCCCTTAAACGCCACCAAGTCTGAATTAGGTTTTTTTCCGACTTAGAGCCTTTGTGAAGAAGATCGTTCGCGGTTGCTGTTGTACGTGTTGGAAGTGGTCGACCAGGTCTAAGGTGAGGTCGACCTAAAGTAGCATTCACCGTCTTCTTTTTTAATGCGTGATTTCCACCGGCTAACTTGATATATTGTTGGGTGCAGAATCCAATTCGGTCGACCGCGACGTCCACCAGGTCGACCTGACGAGACAATTCTTCGTATTTGAATTTAGGCCACAACACTTGGACTTCTGTACTTGCGAGGTAACCCAATCGGTCGACCTAATGAGTTTCAAGGTCGACCGTATATGTTTTTTTTGGTTATTCAACCTGAATGTCGACTTTGGCTTTGTTTGTATCACTATGTTGTGCTTGAAAAGGTCGACCGCGCCAGATATCTGGTCGACCTGTCATTTTTTCGGTTTAATTTTGAACTTACTATATGTTTGTAATTGTTATTTTCATGCTGGATAGGTCGACCTAGGAATAACCGAGGTCGACCTGACGAGTTGTGGTAGTCACTATTTGTCTTACAGGTCGACCTAATACTTTGTCAGGTCGACCACGTCTTTGTTTTTTGGTCAATTATAGAAATTTGTACTTGAATTATGATTTTAATTTTTCTTTAAATTGTTTAGACGATGACGCATGATGAGAAACTGCATCAAGATTTGGGTGAAATCATGAAATTGTTGAAAGCCACACAAGAGAAGCTGGTGGTGTGTCAAACACAAGTCGAGCATTTGTCAGTTCGACTGACAGATATGACTGGGATGATGCATGACGGGTTTGAGAGGCTAGAAGGTGCTATCAAAGATATAAGTGCAGAACGAATGGAGAATGGCGGAAGAAATGGTAAAGGAAAGAAATTTGACTTTGGTAAAGAGGAGGAAGACCATGATGACTCTGAAAATTGCTACCAGAGCATAGACGATTTATTGAAAGAGCACATTTTAAAGGTATCCAAGTATATTCATATGTGATTGAAGATATTAGTATTACTATCATTAGTGCTAATCTGTTTTGTTTATATGTTTGACAGAGTGAAACAAAGAATGGCCGCAAGGGTTCCTCTCCTAATTACAAGAGACCGCGATATGAAAGTGACTCCTACACCACTCCACAGAAGGATCAATTTGTAAGAAAGGGATTATTTAGTGATGATAGCGATGAAGATGAATCTAAGAGTCCTTTCGAAAAGCACGGGGTAAGTTTACGTTACATTTTCATCTATAATGTGTGTTTGTGTTCATATGTTACTTTAATTTTAACTATGATTTGTAGGTCATGAAAGTGGAGGGTCTAGAAGGATTCACCAAAAATCTTCAAAATCCAGTTGAAGACTTGTATTATGTTGTTACTAAAGAGAAGGTTGGGGACAAGAATTGGGACAAGTAAGACGTTTTTCTAGTACGTGTGGTCGACCGGTTGTCCAATACGGTCGACCGTGTGTCCAATAAGGTCGACCTTGACTGTGTACAGGTCGACCTGTACGTTGCAAAAAAACAATTGACATTTCTGTTATCTTGTTTTTTGCAGTTTGATGATTGTGGACTTTTTTTCTGAAAACCTGCAACGACATTATTTGAGTTCGGTCATTAGCGAGAAAAGCTGGGTTTGCTCATCAGTAAGTACTATACTACTACGACTTTCGTATGAATTGTGCACTATTTATGTTACGATTTACGATGATTTTGTGTTTTATTGTTGGATGGTAGGTAGTGGATTTGTGTGCAAGGGCACTAACAATGTCTGAAAAACATGATGTGAAAGAGCCAAATGTGTGGTATTTTCCAAATATGTTTTCGGTAAGAGCCGTAATGTCAAATTATTTGTCATAACCTAGTTATTTATACTGTACCATGTCAATTCATCTCAACTAAAACATGGTGCAGAAAATGGTACGCGCTAACATGAAGACCAGACAAATTCGTAACAAGTTGATGAATGATGGCGTGGACTTTATGCCGAATGTCAGTGCATGCCAGAAGGTTAGTCTAGTCAATGTCCCTATATCATTAAATTTCGAAAGTGCATTTGTTTGTATTCGCTGTTTATAACATATAGTGAGTGTTTCGTTGCTAGATATTTATGCCAGTTCTTGAAGATGAAGCACGTCATTGGTTTCTGTATCTCGTCAATGTCCAGCAAAAAACTGCATTTTTGCTTGACAGTCTACCTTCAACTAGTGAGGCGAATCGTAGGCGTAAATCAGAACTATGCAAGAAATTGGTAAGTGTTTCCTATAATTTTCTGACTACTAAGCGTTACGTAGTATGCTAGAAGTTTAAAATATTCGTTATTTGTGTGTAGTTGTCCACTTTGGATGATATTTTGAAACCAGAGCGCACGAGCAATGTAGTAGTACCAAATTTTGGAAATTTCAATTTTGATGAGCTACCAGTTCAACGACAAAGGAATAGTACTGAGTGTGGTGTGCACGTCATGCAGTGGATGCGCTATGGATCCAAGGATCTTGATAGAGTGGTGAGTATATCGTCAAACAAATAACTAGTATAATTTACACTTTTTTAGTTGTAACGAAATCTTACATGGCATAATGCAGATAGGAGAAGAACACAAATTACCGGCGCGAAAGGAGATTCTATGGTATCTGGCTACACATTTTGAAAACCGTGCACGAGAAAATCTTTTCAAGCATGTAGTAGATGAATGCATGGAACGAGGCAAAGAGAGACAGAGTTCCAAGAAAAAAGCAAAGAAATGAAGTCGTTAAGTTACAATGTTGCATTATTTGGACCATACATTTATTTTGTATTTGCGAGATCGTTTCATTATGGATTTTGAATGTTTATCGTTTATTAGATTTGTTATACAATTATGTATGTGACTGAATGTACGATTTCAATCGTCTAGAACAAGTGGTCGACCACATACTCAAAGCGGGCATACCCAAAGGCAGAGCACAGGTCGACCTCGTGAAGCTTAAGGTCGACCTATGA